ATCTGTAAGATGCGAATAATAATTGCACCTATCCTACTGGATTGTATTGAAGAATGAATGTACTAGTATTTGTAAAGTGTTTAGCACAGTGCTTGGCACATGGTAAATATTTACTTAAGTGTGTGAAATAAACAAAAATGTAAAACTTTCTCTTACATGGGCACTTAATACACAGATGACAAATAAACCAGGGTAATAGATGTGTCATCATGGAAAACTTAAAGTCAACTCTTGCAGTGGCCAACGTAGCAAGCCCACCACAAACACTGCTGTGGGACCTGATAGCTTTCCTCTGAATTGCTGATGTGAAGAATACATTTGGAAGAGTCCTGGACTTTAGTCTCAGATCTGACATGAATTACTGTGCGACTTGGAGACAGCATTTCACTCTTCTGGGCCCTGCTTCTTCCCAGGTGAAAAGCTGCCCCGGTGACCAGGCAGCATGGCATGGGGAAGGAAAGAGCCGAGAAATGGTGTCCAAGCCCCACAGGGTCTGGTTCTCCCATATACGAATTTTATAACTTTGGACGAAACTGCTTTATTTCTTTGCATCTCTATTTCTTCTAAAATGGAGAAAAGGGTGTCTGTCCCCTTATTTCACAGGGTTGAGGGCAAGTAAGAAAGGGAAGGTTAGAGCCCCTTTGCAAACAGAGCTCTCCACGGGCATCTCCTTTGCTGGGCAACAGGTGGATACTTAGTAAGTATTTGTGGTTTCCAAGTCACTGTAAAAATCTAATAAATAAATAAATACATAAATAGATGTTTGTGGAAATGACGTGCAGCACCTACCATTGTCTGATGTAGCTTTCTTTGTTACTTGTTTCTCCATCCCCCTAGAAGCTAAGGTTTCTGAAAGCAGGGACATCTCTGTCTACATCCCTGCAACTGGTAGAGTCAGTACTTAATAAATACTTACTGACTGGATTTGTGGGAAGTATGAATACATGAACCAATGAATAAATGACTCTGAAGTTACATGAGAAGCAAACAAACTTACCTAAAGATACTAATGAAAGTCCAAAGTCTTAAGAAACAAGGTATGTAGGACTAAAGCTCTTGGTGTATTGTATCATCTGACTCCTCTAAATTCTTTTCTTTGGAGAGGTGGTTTGGGCGGAGAAATGGCCGAGTTAAGATACTATAGGGTTGTTAAATTAACATACTCAGCAGGTCCACAGACTTTCTAAAGCTGAATACCAACTGGGATAATTAAAGGCCAGAGCCTTCTTTTTTAATTGACTCTCCAATAAACTACCTGCTGACAAAGGCATAGTTAAGTTGATTCCTGCAAGAATAAAGAAACTTTTCTCTTCCATTCTTAATTTTTTAAAAAGTCCCCACTTTCCCCTCTAGCTCAATGAGCACTTAAATTCACCAGAATTAAAAGGAAAGTTACCAAATATATATATATATATTTTAAACTAAGCAACATCCTTTCTTCCCAGCAACCAATTCATGAAGGCACGGAAGTGGCTTGTGCTGAGGAAGGCATCTGGAGGGAGCTATGGGGGCGGGGGAGGTGGTCACACCAGCTCTTCCCCAAGGGATGGAGAAGTGCCCAGGAGCCTCCCTCATTACTCTCCATCCCTGTGGTCTAAAATAAAATCTGCCATCTAAAATATACTATTCTAAAAATAGGGAGTTTGGCTTAAATACACCAGTTGGTGTTTTGATTTTTAAATTATGTGCAAAAAATTATACTTAAGACCCAGAGAGTATTAGTAAGTAATTCAAGGAGGTTGCCATTTTATTTTGATTCTAAAGTTCTAAAATATTTATTCTCTCAGAATCTGAGGAAAGGTGAAAAGAGACAACAGAAGGGGGGTAATATGATGTGGAACGCTTAAATTCCAGTTTGAAAGTGAAAGGTAACTAAACATTTCTAAAGCAAATAATACACTTTAAAAGTGTGTGTGTGTGTGTTTTTCGTGGCAGGGGCTATGCTATAATTCACTATAAATAAGTAGAAGAAAAACTGGTGAGTTTCAACTTAGTTACTCCTATCTTTCCTGATGTCATTTTGGGATCCAACTTCTTTGCACACAAAACTGCAAATAATTCCTAATATGCAGTTTTCAAAGCATAAGGAATCTTTTTTTTTTTTTTTTTTTTTTTTTGAGACGGACTCTCGCTCTGTTGCCCAGGCTGCAGCACAATGGCACGGTCTCGGCTCACTGCAACCTCCGCTTCCCGGGTTCAAGTAATTGTCCTGCCTCATCCTCCCGAGTAACTAGGACTACAGGGGTGTGCCACCATGCCCAGCTAACTTCTGTATTTTTAGTGGAGATGGGGTTTCACCATACTGGCCAGGCTGATCTCGAACTCCTGACCTCAAGTGATTCGCCCACCTCAGCCTCCTGAAGTGCTGGGATTACAGGCGTGAGCCACCACGCCCAATCCATAAAAAATCTATTGAGTATTCGATGGCCCAAGACTGTATTATCTTTGGAATAAGAGTTTTAAAGCCTCCCTCATCAGGCATCAATCATAACCAGAATGTATTTTCAGAAAGGTGTGCTATTATATTATCTTGATTAATGAATATTAATTTCACATGAAATTGGGCTATTTTAAAAAAGCTTTCACTTAATGAGAATGAGGTGGGTGAGTAGTGTTATAAGAAGCAAGTATTAATGCTATCTCCTTCTGGACAGAAAGACTGAAGTACCTAAAATGTTTGATTTTACACGTGAACTTTAGCAACACAATTTTCAGCTCATCTCTAGACTATAAAGATTTGGACTTGTGTGTGGGTGGCATCATGTGTGGACCACAAAAGTCACTATCTCTCCTCCTCTCCCCGGAACAAACACCCACAAACTGATGGAGATGCTCTAAAGGTTAAACTAGATCTTCTAATTGTCCAGGAACGTATGCTATGCAAACAATGTTGGCTCCCTGTTCCAAGGCAGAGCTATTGTGGGACTTGAGGCTGCTGGCTATGAGGATGGTGGGGAATAGTTCTATTCACTGGGGCAAAGTGGGAACCCAAAAGAGGGTGGCTGAAATGTTTTATTATCCCAATCTTCAGAGAACAAATAATTACAGAACATTCTATATCAGAACAAGAGCCTGTTAGTCTGCATGGGGGAGGGGGGGAGGGCAGGGAGAGAAAAGGCAGAGGGCACAGATAAAGAACTTTCCTTTCTTGGGGGCAGGGAAAGGAGAGAACCTAAAGAGTGGACTACAATTCACTTTTCGAAGGAGTTTTCTATTTGTAATATGTTTCCTTTGAAAAGTGGAAGTTCTGAGCGTTTGGGAGTTTGGTTATAGATCAAGAAATTCTTAGCTTTCCAGAGTTTGGTGGCTACCAATCAAAGGTCAATCAGATATGAAAATCAGAGTAGTCCTGAAACCATACCATAGGCTACTGGGAAGATGTAACATGCTTTATAAAAAAAAAACTATAATCTCTTGCATGCATTTTTCTCTTCAGTGAAACACAAGGGATATGAGTTCTTTAAAAGAAGTAGCAAGAAGGGCACAAAAAGCAGAAATCAGGGCTTGGGGGGACAAGAAGAAGAGAGGGTGGAGGAAGAAGTGCAGCGTCTCTTGGGATGGCAGCTGTTTTATTTGCACCCTCGAAGAGTTCCTGAAATAACTAATATGCACTGCCATTCTTGTTTTTCCAGTGGTGATTTCATCCAGTCCCTATAGAAACTCAGAATTAAATGTCATGGTTTTGTGTTTTGGAAAGCAAAACTCTCCCCCAAAACAAGGGAGTTCTGAATACTGCTGAGAGCATGTGAGATCTGAAAAGTCTGCAGAGTGCTAATCATTAACATGCTACTTTTGGAGGCAGGACTGCCCCTTTCTTTGCTATCACATTTCCTTCTATTTGATCCTGCCCTGTCCTGGTTTACTTTCTGTTTCTCCCACTCATTACCACGCATTCTTCCGTAACACATGTGAAGTCCAGAATAGCCTCTCCCTTTCGGTTGGCCAACTCAACACTTCCCTTACAAACTCTCCTTTAAAAAAAATCATCTCTGACTTATTTTCCAAGGCCTTTCCCTCTTCCCGCTCCCCTGGGGGGGAGGTGGGGGAAACCACCAAACCCTCCGTTTCTTCCTGAATAATGCAGGAGAATAAAGCAGAAGTAAGGTCTACAGACATTACTTACAGTAACTGCAAATAAAAAGGCCTAAGAAGAACAGTCTGCTAATTTGGAGGCAGACAGATTTGGGTTCACATCCTGCCTTTGTCATTTGCACATGGTGAGACTATGGATAGGTTGCTTAACCTTCCCCTAAACCTCCGTTTTTTTCACCTGCAAAATGGAAGTTTACATTAGGGTAAAATTATTATTTTAAGATAACAGTATTAGGAGTTTTAATGGTAAAGAAAAGCCCTTCCAGGGCTGTAAAGGGAATTAAATGAGACAAAGCACATGGAGTGCCTGGAACACAGTAAGCGCTCAATAAATGTTTGCTGCTACTGATGATGATGTAAATTCTTTGAGGAGAAATGTCATCCTTTCCGCCACTGCATGTATAGTAACAAGGATTCAGTGCTTCTCAAAGCTAAAAGATAGTACCAGGAGGAAGGGACTGGGTACAATTGTTCGCTGATTGCAGCCCCTAGGAAGCACGTCTCAGAGGCAGCCTGCAGAACAGAGCAAAGGGCTTATTTTAGGAGCCTCCAGTCAGGACAGACTGGTTGATCTGGATGCCTCACCCAGCAAGGCAGCCTCAGCCACACGCTTCTCTCCATAGGCTATGGGCATTCCCAGTGGGATGCACCACAGCCCCAGATTCCGGGAATTTTACCCACAACTTGTTCCCCTCTCCTGATCTCCCTTCTCCCTTTTGGAGACCTCAAGGCTTGAGAGAAATGAAAAGCAACAGCTTGCCTGACAAATAAGGTAAGGACTCTGCCTCTCAGGTGCTGAGTCACTGGTTAGGAACTGTCCCATCTACAGACTCTCCCAGAAAATTACACAAAAACACAAAGTTGGGCTCCAAACCTTGGGCACTCTGAGAAAGGCTCTGATTCACCAGGGTGTGCTTCAGAACTGACACTCTGGGGACAGAAGGTACCCACTGCCCAGCCTGCCAGCAACCTATCTTCCTTTAAACAACAAAAACGAAGCAGAAAGAGGAAAAAAGCCTGAACCTTTCCTAATAAGGTAATACCATATGCCATTTCTAGTTTCGAATTGCTTGGCACACCAGGATCATATGACATTCACTGCAGCTACTGCTTCATGCTTGTGTGAGGCTCTCCAGGAAAAATGAGAGAGTCTTTGGTGTGACTCTGGGGATTACAAACAAATAGGGAACATGCTTTGCCAGTGGAACCCCACATTTTCCTGATTCACCACACTTGCCTCACATTCCTCTTTCACACTGCTGCCTGCAGGCCTCTTGCTTTGTGGGCTCAGGCATTGTAAAAGTTCTCAGGTTGCTTTGTATGCAGGTTTTCTCTCTCCAACGAGGTGCACGCTTTTTAAGGGCAGAAACTTCTTTCTTTCTTTTGTTTTACCCTGCTATGCTTATCACAGCGTAATCCACCCAGCAGTTACTCAATAAATGCTTGATGACAGACTAGTGCTGACAATTTTACAGATCAGTAGGTGATCATTTTATATCATTAGCCCCCAACTTACAAATCAGCAGGGTTTCAAAAGTTGGTTTCAAAAAAGGTATTTATGGAGCATATTTTCCCATAGAAACAGTGTTATAACTGGGGCTTAGGTTTCCAGGCCCGCTTATTTCTCAGAATATCGTATACCTACTTATATGCGGTCTTAGTGAGCTCTCTCATTTGCCTCAGACTCGCATTAGACTGCCAGTACATGTGCAGGATAAACTCTAGTTTTTTCAGTTACAGCAATGCTGACTTGCACAAATTTCCTTTCCCACTTATTAGTCGTATTTATATTTCATGACACTATATGTAGCAGCAGGTAATAAATTACTCATCATACACTTTAAAAATAACACTAACCGGTAAGGAGTTATTTTTGTTCCTCATTAAAAAATATGCACGCACTTTTGTTTTTCCTTTTATATTAAAATATTTTTCAACAATTTTTAACCTCAGTTATTATTTGGGCCACTCCAGACTTTCCCAACCATTTACACACATTGACCCCCTCACCCACCCACCCACCCACACATCCACTCATAGTCTACCTATTACCAAAAAAGATTTGTAGTATAAATTATAGCCTCCAGGACTGCCCATTTACATGGATACACACACACACACACACACACACACACACACACACACACACAGTAAAATGCATTCTGGGCCACTAAAAATATTTATTATCCATTATAGAAATGAATGACATTAGCTTTCAAAGTAAAAGCTATAGTTGTTCAACAGAGAGGCAGAGTCTGTGAGCCTCTTCTCACCACAGCATAGGAAGAGTGTTTAATGGTCTACCTCTGGGAATAATACAGTATCTGAAGAAAAAAGCTTGCAGTGGCTCAGGGGGGCAGGACAATCACCTTCAGTTGCCTGTCCCACAGTGAGGGTCTCTGCCCAGTCTCCTCCAGAGCCTCGAGAGTGGCAGCTCTGGGGGAACACTGTCCCCTGTCCAGGGTGGGGTCTTCAAACAGGTCAGGGTTGCTGTGTTTGGGGTTATGAGTACAAAATAACATGCACACAAATGTTGACTGGTGTATTGGTTCTTGGATACTTAGGTAACCTGAAAAGCCATACCTTGACCCTTATTCCCATTCAATGGCATCCTGAAGAGAAATCTAAGTGATTTTCCAGCATAGCTTGCGAGACATCTCTTGTGTCTCTAAGGCTGGCGGAAAGAGTTATCACGCAGATGCTCTAGAAGAGTCAAACCCAAACAATAAGCAAACAGAAACCTCTCTCCAGCCTAATGTGCTGAACACGTGTACTAAATGAGATGAGCCTCTCCCCATTTTCTGGAGTTCACAGCTGTCTTTCTAAGCTAAGTTGGCATTTAAGTGGCACAACAGAGATGCCAGGTTAATGGCTGTGAAGGATGACAAGTATCAGTATGGTTGTATTACATCTGTCTTTTAGCAAGAGTTACTACCAAGACAAGAAACTGCAATCTCCTCCCTGCCCCATAGCACCTCATAGTTATTCAATGTGGCCCATCCTCAATTGATTACGCTGACCCTTTAACGAGAAGTTCTGATAACCATATTCTTGTTAGTAGGCCTTTTCTTTGATCAGCTCTTACAGGCAATCTAACATATACTCCTTCACTCTCCCACCATTTGGAGAAATATAACTGACTCAATGCAGTAATTAAGTACCCCGTATTCATCTTTCCTTGGCGTTCAGGATGTTGCTCTGGTTCCAGGTCTCACTTGAGAGAAGAGGGCAGTTGTCTATAAGTAGCAACTATAAGAGACTTGTCTGAATGTACCAGGATCACAACAGACATTCTGAAAGTTTACTTTGATTGTTCACTTTGTCTCTGAAAAATGCCAAGCATGTAGGAGTTTGGGGTTAACAAGTCACATGCAGTCAGATCCCCCTTCCGTTGAGCTATTAGCTATTATTCCAATTTAAGGAATGCAGGCATGTGGCATGGAGGTTGCCTCTTTTCCTCTTGCACTCATGGTAGACTTCCCTAATGGATCAGCACTCACAGCAGCTATCACTAATGAGTCATGGTGTTCTTTCCTATTGGGCCCAGATGTGAGTTAATTAATACTTCTTTTCAACACCTCCCTCCAATCACATAAGTTGGAAACAATGAACTATTTTTGTTCTAATTGATTTCATATACTTTAATTTCTTTCCTTGAAGCAACTGACAGTTGACTAAGGTATCATTACCTTATTTTAGCAACATTCTCTCTATACTTCTTAGCTAATTCCTCCACTAATCTGAGCTATAAATAATATGGGCTATCACCCATTGCCAGACACTGTTAGACACTAAGTGCCAATTTACGTCCCCGTGTCCTTACGAAAAGCTCAAGGCAGGGAAAGGTGGCTCAAATCTGACCTGTATTACGGCTTCCAGTAACCTTCCCAGGTGACTGCTACCCTGAATTAGCGGCCTCCCTTTGCTTCCTACAGTGTCACCACTGCATTCACTTTGTGGTACTACAATGGTCTGTCCATGTATCCTCTTCCCTACTTAGCTTCACAACATGTCTTACTCACCTAGAACAATGCTGAATACAGGGTGGGTGTTTGGTAATTATGTTGAAAGAATTTTTTTTTAAAGTTCTTGTTTTCAAATGCAAGTTGAGCATCCCAAATCTGAAAATCCAAAATCCTTCAAAGTCTGACACTTTTTGGGCCCTGACATGACACTCAAATGAAATGCTCACTGAAGCATTTCAAATTTGGGATGCTCAACTGGTAAGTATATAACGTAAATATTCCCAAATCTGAAAAAAACCTGAAATCTGAAACACTTCTGGATCCAAGCATTTCAGGTAAGTGACTCTCAATCTGTACTTGCTGAGTTTCAATTCATGCCCTACAGTGAACATGACCTGTGACAAGCCCTGTGACTGGAGGAAATTTTACTTCCTAAAGTAATGAGTAGCGGGCAGGCCAGCTAGAATTGAGGTGGGGGCCACGGCAGCCCTAACACCTTCCCTGAATCAGCTGTTTGCATGCACCTCCTCTCCAAGCATGGAAAGCATTCACAGCTCAGCTTCTGCCTCCATGCTTCACTGCTGGGTTTGCTGTTTGCCTTTCTGTGCCTCCCACACTGGACTGTGCGCTGTATCCCTAGCACTTAGTAAAGTGTTCGGTCAGTGGTGAATAAAGATCTTTGAAGGGTCTGTACTGAAGAGACCACTGGCCTGAGACTGGAGAATGGGGAGCTACTTCTAGAACTGCCCTGATCCCCTTGGGTGGTTTCTGTCTGGGTTGTTTCTGTGGTGTCGGTGAGAGAATGCCTGCCCAGCAGGACAGGTGGCGGGTGTTAAGTGTGGCAGTGTATCTGAGCACTCCGCCAGGGTAAAGGTAGGCGCTCCCTTCTCCTCTTCAGGAGGCTGCCCTACACGGGCTGGTGTTGTCATTCCAGCATTCCCGCCCCTTTGCCCACTCTCCTCTGGGCCACTTTGTGCAGTTCAGTGTGACAACTTGCTGTTCCCGCTTGTGCCCGGAGGGTTGTGAGCTCCCCATCTCTGTGCACAGTATTTCCTTTCCTTCATCTCTCCTCACCTTCAACTCTGCACAAATTCCTGGGCAGCTGGAGGGCAAGGTCTTGGCCTGGCCCACAGGCGCTGTGTGCTATGGCTGCTCGGTCACCTCTTCAGCTTGGTCCCGACCACGCCCACCTCCCACACACTAAGCTCCGGTCATACCTGAACTCATCATTCCTGTCACCACCACAAACCTCCGCCTACTGTTGTGGTCTCCAGTTCAGGGAGTGGCACTGTCATCTGGGCAGCTGCCCAAGCCAGACACCCCAGAGTCATTCTGGACTCCCCACACCCCCACCACATCCCTTCTTCTGTCTCTAAGTCTTGCTTAAGCAACCTCAATATTTCTCAAATTAGTATATTTTTACCCCACTGCCCCACTCCAGTTGAGACTATAAGCAGCTGGCCACTGGATCACTGTAGCACAGCCATGGTTGTCTAGCTGGTCTCACTATCTCCCCACAGAACCCCTTCAATCCACTCTGCACACCCAGAGTGATGTTTCGGTAAAGAAAAGTTGACGTGACCCTCCTCTTTTAAAGCTCTGTCCACAGTTTAGACATTGCTTCCTGCAGGAAGCAGTGCTGATACAGGAAGCCACAGCACCTCCGTCTCTCCCATCAGGACACCAAGCACACTTGTGGGTCTTCTGCGTTAGAGGCCACTCTGTGAGGGCTCCCTTGCTCTCCTCTGAGCAGTGGAAGGTTTTTAATCACTCCTTCTGTAGCATGCACTCCAGCCTGCTACTTGACAGCCATCTACTCCCTCGTCTCTGCTGGTAGAACAAGTTCACTCTTTCCTCATGTGATGAGGGTAAATCCAGATTGGTCTAGGCCACAGGGATGGCCCCAGACCACTTATGAGTGTTTAGCGGCGGGCATGTGCCCCAGTTCTGACCAGCGAGACATGAGGGGAGGTCGGCTGGGGAGTTTTGAAAGGTCTCTTCATTCACAGAGAGATGCATAAGAAACAGTTCTTTTTATCCGTCCGCCTTGGCATTGTTATGAGAGGATGGGATGCCTACAACCTTTCTGTACCTAGGAGGAGAACTTGCTGATGCTCTGAGGATAGCAGAATAGGTGGAAAGAGCTTGATGGTGCTGGGCTTCTGAATTGCTGAACTGGAAACAGACTCTATGTGGACTTCTTTTTATATGAGACGGTAAGTCCCCTTTGGTTTAGGCCATTTTGAATTGGGTTTTCTGTTACTTGGAGCTCAAACAGATTACAGATTCTTGGGCACTTTTCACTGCCTATTTTGTCTTAGAGGTACTTACTAGGTATAAATCTGTTTCTTTTTTTTAGACTGTGGTCTTTTTAAGGGCAGCATTTGCATTTTGATAGATCCTTGTATCTCCCAAAGGCTGGTGGCTTGTCCTATTCTTGAGCTTGAATGAAGAGCCAGCACCGTCTTCTGGCCTCACACTGTAAGGTCTCACAACCTGTAGATGGGCCTTCTTCAGGGGCTTAATTTGCTTCATTTATTTTTACAAATGTTCAATGTAGGAAGAAACATGAGCAAAATATAAAAGCTCTACAGTCCACTTTAGGAGGCAAACCTATCACATCCATCCTTACAAACCTCACTGTACTCAACACATGCTCTGCGCAAAGTGGATACTCAAAATGTTTGCTAAATGAATAATTTAATTTGCCTCTGATGAGTCAAGAGCACTTAGGACTTTTATAACATCCTAAGGTCATAACGAACAGTAATTACCAACAAATAGTGCTAAATATATCCTGGTTCTAGGAGATCACTAGTGGTAAGTTTGTGTTTGTTTATATGAGAGCTTTGATCCACCAAGATGCTAAAGCCTTAAAATAGAACAAGGAGAACTAGGCTTTGTACAGTGAAGCAAAAAAAAATAAAATTTGAGCAGCAGAGCTGCCCACTGGATGTGGGCTGAATGCCCATCTTACTTGGGCCTGGCCTTGGGGCTCAACCAGGTAAGACTGACCCATTGTCCTCAAGGGGTTTAGAGTCTGAGGGTGGGAGGAAGAAAAACAGACAACTTCAAAAGAGTGCAGTAAATGTCATAATAGGTAAGCTAGAGGGTGCAACAGAGATTCCAAGGCCAGACCTGATGCATTGAGAAGGTCTCTCAGAGGAGTATCTGAACACAAAGGGTAAGTCTATCATTCAGGAAGGGACAAAAATAAACAATAAAAAAAAAAAAGAAGAGTAGCACGATCAGGTCTGTAGTTTATAAAAAGCGGATTCTGACTGTAATATGAGGTAGGAGAGACAAGGCTGAAGTCAGGGAGGCCAGTTGAGGGGCTGCTATAGTAATTCACTGTGGAATACCACAGGTTTCTCAGGCTGGAAACAGGTTAATGACAAATAATGTCAGGCCTGGGTTTTCAAGAGCATGTGGTGCTGTGGCTGCTGCTCAAAGGATGCTGGCTCTGGACACCAGCTTCCCATCTTCCGGGTTCAGGTTGGGGAGTGGGTCTGACTTGGAGGCAACATGGTAGAATGTAATGGTTTTAACCTGGTATGAGCTTGAGTTCACGTGTGTGTGCATACATGTGTGATGTGATGCTCTGCCTCCTCATTTACCACATCCCAGTTAGGTGAGCACAGGAATAGCTCTGGTCCCAGCATGGCCACAGATTCTTCTGTGATCTAGTTCAAAGGGACATACATCTTTGAACCCCACTTTTTTCACAGGTCCTATCAAGAGGCTGCGCCACACAATGTCTAAAACCAATCAACTGGTCTGCCTGGGTCATCTGCACTGCAAGGTTTATGATTCTCTGGACCAGGGCTTCTAAGCCGGTATACCCTGCTGGTTCAGGTATGCCTCAGCCCCAGGTGGCCAGGCAGGGCCTGGACCATCCAGAGCCTCCAGCTGTGGGCATCTTCCTCCATGCTATAATATGACTTTTCTAAGTGTGCCATTCAGGTTGAGTATCCCATATTCAAAACGCTTGTCACCAGAAATCTTTTAAATTTTTGGATTTTTCTCAGATTTTGGAGTATTTGTATATACATAATGAGATATCTTGGGCATAAGACCCAAGTCTAAACTTGAAATTCATTTATGTTTCATATACACCTTATACACAGAGCCTGACAGTAATTTTATGTACTTTAAATATTGTATATGATACAAAGTTTATATACACTGAACCATCAGAAAGCAAAGGTACCAGATAGGGAATTTCCCACTTCTGGGGTCATGTCAGTGCTCAAAAAGTTTTGAATTTTGGAGGATTTCAGATTTCTGGATTAGGAATGATCAACCTACATGAGGAAATTGGCAGGAAGCACCACTCTAGACAAGAGAAAGGAAAACATTTGCATGAGCCCAGAATCCCCTTTGGCTCATCACTCGTCTCCTTCCATCACTCAAGTGTCCACCAGCTCTTTAATGACAAAGCCAACGCCAACCTACTTCCAGCTGCATACTGGCAAGGCAACCAAAGACCGACATGGCTGGAAGGTGCCAAGCAGTAGGGCCAAAGGGACTGTCACAAATGGGAGCCTTTCCACTAGGGCTTTCTACCTCATGCCCTTCTGCCTTCTGGGGGACCTTGCACTATATTGACTGTTGCCTTCCCTCCAGAAGCTCCAAACTCCCTCTCCATCTCCTTTGATATCTGTGATTTTGGTCACAGTGGAAAAAAAATCTTGTATTTAGAGGGAGAAAAATTCAGAAGGAAAAGTACTGCTTTATTTGAGAAGGCTGAACTAGGGGTCCCCAGGGACACTGGGGAGCGTTGAGAAGTTCTGAGAAAGATTTGAGATGGCTCAGCTCACTTAAAAAGAAAATGCAGCAATGCAGAAATGGACAGGGGTTACATAAACAAGTCTCAGGGCTCAGAATTGCAGGTCCGAAAAGGTGGTTTTAGCTTTGGGTTTCCTTTTTTTTTCTTTTTTCTGAGACAGAGTTTTGCTCTTGTCACCTAGTCTGGAGTGCAATGTCATGGTCTCGGCTCACTGCAGTGTCTGCCTCCCGGGTTCAAGCGATTCTCCTGCCTCAGCCTCCCACCACCACGCCTGACTAATTTTTGTATTTTTAGTAGAGGTGGGGTTTCACCACGTTGGCCAGGCTGGTCTCAAACTCCTGACCTCAGGCAGTTTGCCTGCCCAGGCTTCCCAAAGTGTTGGGATTACAGGCATGAGCCACCACGCCCAGCCCTAGCTTTGGGTCTCCTATTGCAGCAACACATTAGAATAAACAACCAACCAAACCCTTGGGACTGAACTATTACACCTAGAGAAGGATTAACGTGGCCTGGGTCCTGCTGTCCCTCCTCAGACTTAGTATTTCGCCATGATGATGAAATACCATTGGCTGGTAGCAGCGGCCAGCTCGCTAAGCTGGGCAACCGACCCTCCTCTGCTTTTCACACAACTTGGCATTGGCCTGGTGTCAGGATTGGGGAGCATGCTGCACAGGGGCTGAGTGGCTGCCATATGCACACTGGAGCACACATTGATGGTACAGCAGAGAGGGCTGGGCTCATCGCTGTTAACCCATCAGCTCTGGCTTTTAGATGCTTGAGAGATGAGGCTGGACACAACTACACCAGAATAAACCCACCCAAAAAAGTCCTTGACAGAAAAACATGAAGCAAACAAAATCAGCTAAGATGCTCCCTGTGGAAGTGTGACTTGAGAACATTCGCCTTTTCCTGACTGCTCCAATGGAGGAATACCTTATTACTAACAAAAAGTTAGGAGTGATGTATGGGAGCTAAAAAAGTAGACCTCATGGAGGTAGAGTAGAATAATGGTTACCAGAGGCTGGGAAGCGGGGATGAAAAGTTGGTTAAGGGGTACCAAAATACAGTTAGGGAGAAGAAGTAAGTTCTAGTACCTAATAGTACAGTAGGAAAATTAGAGTCGACAACAATTTATTGTATATTTCAAAACAGCTAAAAAAATTGCAATGTTCCCAACACAAACAAAAGATAAATGTCTGAGGTGATGGATAGCCCAATTACCCTGATTTGATCATTATACAATGTATACATGATCAAAATATCACATGTATCCCCCAAATATGCACATTATACAACAATAAAAAATGTTTTAAGAAGTTAGGGGTGAAATCCAGCACATGGAACAGCATATACATCCCACAGTACTAAATGGAGGCCAGAGGGCGTGTGGCTTTTGGAGGGAGGAGTGTCAAGGTCTCTACGGTTCCTGCGTAGACAGTCTTCTCCGTGTTGGTTAACTATAGTCTGATAACTACTCACCTCAGTAAACATTTGTCAAGTGCCTAACGGCATCCAAAGTACTGTGGGAGACAATACGGTGCAGCCATTAAGAAAACGAATTCTGGGCCAGCGCAGTGGCTCCTGTAATCCCAGCACTTTGGGAGGCCGAGACGGGCGGATCACGAGGTCAGGAGATCGAGACCATCCTCGTTAACACGGTGAAACCCCGTCTCTACTAAAAAATACAAAAAACTAGCCGGGCGAGGTGGCGGGCGCCTGTAGTCCCAGCTACTCGGGAGGCTGAGGCAGGAGAATGGCGTAAACCCGGGAGGCGGAGCTTGCAGTGAGCTGAGATCTGGCCACTGCACTCCAGCCTGGGCGACAGAGCAAGACTCCGTCTAAAACAACAACAATAACAACAAAAAAAACGAATTCTGGAATCAGGTAGGCCTGGGTTTGTGTTTGGACTCTTTCACCCATTCTCTGTGTGACCTGAGAAAGCTATGTAACCTCTCTGTGCCGTGGTTTCCTCATCTGTAAAACGAAGGTAATAATACTACTGACTTTATAGGATTATTGTGAGAATAGTACTTAAAGCTCCTAGAATAATGCATGATCTCTACTAAGTACTTAGTATCTGTTGGCTGTTATTATTATAATCTTGGTGCACCTCAATTTCCCCATCTACCAAATGGACATAAGAACTGTATGTACCTCACAGAGTTGCTGTGAGGGTTAAATGAAATCATGCAAGTATGATGTTTTGTATAATACCTTATGCATAATAAGCACGCTATAAATACTAGTCATTGTTATTCCTAGAAGTTTCCCCAAATTATTTTAAAAAGAAGGCACCTAGATCTAAATGACAGTCCATGTAACAAAGAAATCTCTTCCTTGAGCAATCTCAGTGAAGGCCATTTTTTAACGACGCTCACTCTCACTTCCCTCCACTCTGGGTCCTAGTCATGTAAAAAACACTCTGCTTTGTGTTGACTAAGCTCCACAGTGACATTCCAAGGAGTTCTGGTGTCCCTCCAAATATTCGAGGCTGCCCTTTTAACCTGATACTGATACCCTGTCCACTCTACTGTTTAAGGGGCTATTTAAAAATTTGGCTTTGTAAAACAGGGAGCAAGGCAGAAAGCCTGCAAAGCTTTAGCAGTTGGCGTGGCAAGGAACAGAAAAGCAGCATTTTACAGTATCAAATACCAGAAGTAGCCCTCATAGCCACTAACTTTGTAGTGCTCTTCCCTCACTGTGGCAAAGTGCCGAGCATGTTACATGCATTACATTACTGAAACCAAGGCCCTGTGACGTTCCCGTGTGTCCAAAGTGCTAGCTGGTATGAGCACAGCTGTGGGCTCTAATCTATGGCTTCGCTTCAAAGTCCATGCATGCAAATCCTGGGCAACTCCCTGCGTTTCCAAGGCAACCCAATCAACTCATCCAGAGGTAACTAGCTTCCAATAACTGTATAAGCTCACTCCTATCATTTGGCAGGTTGTAGGGCAATCAGTTCAATTTATTTTTATTTTTATTTTTTTGCTTTCTCTGATATTTGACCAACCACGACACCTAGTGGCCAGTGGAGCACAAACATGGGTTGCCCGAAAAGGCTGATGGACGGGTGACCTTGTTCATGATCAGGAAAAACATGATGGATCGTGTTCAAGGTGAAGAAACCAAATGAAATGAAGCAACTTGCCTAAAGTCAAAGCTAATGTAGAACTGTGTGGAAATACTGAACCTTAGCGTTAGCGCTCGTATTCTGATTCAGACTTGGCCTAATTTGATCCTCAGCAAGATACCTTCTTCAGTTATTCAACAAACATTGACTGGGCACCTCCAGAGTCAGGCACTGTGCCAGATGCCAGGGACATGACAGAAAGCAAGAAGGACACATCTCGATCCTTGCAGTTAAATAGGAGGGGGAGGATAAACAGGAAATTCACAAGAACACCACCAGCTAATATGTATTAAGGACTCTGCTTCAAGAGTTTGATATACACCAACTCGCTTCATCCTTGACTTGAAACGATCCTATAATGGGGGTGCGATGATTATTCTTGCTTTGAAAATGTGCAGGAGAACATTTAAGTTGTGGGTAACGAACAGGGCTCCTATGCCTTTCTAGGTCTAAGTTTCTGAAATAAAGTTGTGCTAGATACTAGAAGATTTCTAAGGCCTCTTTCCAGCTCAGTTTCCCTTCACTTCTAGGATCCTGGGGTAAAGCTGGGATTAGACCTTGGTCGGGTTTCCTGACCAAGAGTCTAGTATTCTCTCTCCATACACTGTGCTGGTCAATATTTATGAATAATAACTGGAAGTTACTGAATGCTTACGCTGTGCCATGCCCTGAATTCCTATCAGTTTATGTAATCTTCTTAAGAACCTATGAGACAGCTTTAAAGTAGAAATAATACCTCGGCAAAAAATCATGCTCTAAAATAGTTTAAAAGATTCCCAAGATAAACAGAGAGACTTCCAACCTCACCCAGCTGTAGCATCCTGAACCTCTGTTCTGTCTGATTTTGTTGAATAGTGGATTTAAACCTTATGTATTGGCGTCCTCAGCTCTCATGATGGGAATGGATAATGGGCCCAGGCAAATGGTTCAATGATGAGTTACTGTCCAGGGAAACAGGGGGCATCTTGTTCAATAACAACATTGCTTTGGGGTAATTCTGGGTCTCTAGAAGTATCTACAAAGCCTGCAAGGTCAAGTGCAGGCCAACTTGGCCCTTTGGTTTTATGAT